TCTGTCTTCTGTTGCTTCTGTAATGTGTGTGGCTAGTTTTGTAGCACAAGTGCATATGTGAGATTATCTTCAGCTAAATCTGTCCTTGGTCCAGAGTATATTTCTGTTCAATGAGCCCCACCTGATCTTCTCACTTGTCTATGGATTTATCTGTAGCCTGGTGTTTGGTGTTAGTGTTAATGCAGTATTGTGCACATAATATTATTTTCCTCTGTTGTCTGTATCGGTGTCCTTCCTTTCCCCAATGTCATCATGCTGCTCATAGACTCTTTCCATACATAAGGCATCTTTTTAAGGTGATGGAAGTGTTTCAAAACTGGATGGTTAATAGTTGTACAACTGTGCAAATTCACTCTACATTGACTGCCCACTTACAGCAGATGGACTTTATGATATGTAAGTTATTTCTCAATGGAAAAACAAACCAACCAGTTGCTGTTCAGCCCATTGCAACTCATAGCAACCCCATGTGTGTCAGAGCAGGGTTTTCAGTGGCTGTGATCTTTCCAAGTTGCGTCTGTGTACATTCAAAACTACAACTTTTGGGTTAATAGCTGAGTGCTTAACCATTTGTGCCACCCAAAGTGTCCTACATCTCAATACAGCTGCTAAATTCAGATTATCTGGAAACCCTATTTTTGTTTGAAATAGAGATGTGAGAGTCAACAGGGAGTACAGACATGGAAGCATCAAACAGTGGAGAACTGCGGAGTAGCTCCTTTTAGCTGAGGTGTGAATTTTCTACTTTCCCACAGTTTGTACCACACGCAATATGTCATGAGCTTCTAAGTTCACTTCACTCATTTTGTCACCCGACTGATCCTTATAGGCCCTCTGCTCCATGGCAAAGAAGCAAGTGTCCCTTCCTGACCCCGTGCCGTCTCACTTTGTACATGTATTTCCAGGAGCAGATTTCAGACTTTCAGACTTTTTCAAAGTTTATTAAATCATGATTAATCTGTGCAAAAATTAAACAATTTCATTCTTTCTTTTAGGTGTAGTGTGACCGGGTGGTTTAAATATGCATTTGAATGTTTATAAAAGTTGGGGAACTGTAAATTTTTTTTTTTTTTTTCATTTAGAAACAGCAGTGTAGTTTTGTATTATTTGTTGCATTTTATAGGTGAGAAAACTAAGGCTCAGACAGTTCCTGTAATCTAAAGGCCACATAATTAACCATACTTTTTTTTCCTCCAAAGAGTATGTTTTTGTGCTTACAGAAAGGAAAAGAAAATCAGGATGTCTTACAAAATCTTAAAAATAAATTAGTGCCAAGGGGAAGGGGAACAGTTTTTTTTTAGGTTTAATAAAGTTTAAAGAGCCTGGTGGGTTTGTTTTTTTTCTTTTTCATTTTTGGACTTGGCTGGACGTGTTCAACATTTTACTGGAGAATTAGAAAGAGTTGGAGAAACTCTGGAGCAGCTGCTAAAATAATTAATCTGCAGCTTATTCCAGTTTTCAAAAGCTGAGTAATTTCTCAACCTTGAGAAGTCATGGTTCAAACATAGAAACATTGGTCTTGTTTGGTGCTGTGGCCTCATCTGCCACTAAAGTTTTAGGTACCAAGAGAAAAATGCTTAAATATTTATGCTAGGATAAAACCTTAAGGAATCTTATAGTATCTTAAACTCTCATCCTTTTTTGTGTGCTAGGCCAGAGCCCTCAATCACTAAGACAGAGTGCTTTGGGATTAAGGATGAGACATTCATTGTTCACCCTTGCACTAACCAGAGAAGTTGTGATGCAGTTAGGTCACGTGCCCTTACTGTACTTGGGGTATGAAGCTGTCCCTGAGACCTTTTAGAACAAACAGGACTTGATCAAAGGCATAGAGATGCCTCTGGTCAAACAATAAGACATTTTTATTTCTCTGATTTTAAATTTTCAATTGGGCTTTTATAATTACCCATACAAGTCCCAATTGGCAAAGGAGAGCCATGAGCATAAGGCACAGGCCGCATCCTGGTGGCCTGTGTGCTGGGCCCACCCTGCAGATGTGTTGCATTTTGTTTTTGGCCTTTCAAGTATTTAAAGAAATCATTTTTCTGAATAGTAAAGACAACATTTTGCAATCTGGAGTATCCACATAAACATCTTAATTTCCTCCTTCTTTGAATCTGACACCCTGGCCACACTGAGAATCAGTCCTGCTGAGTAAAGGCTGTGCACTTTAATAGGGTACAGGGGTCACCTTCTGCCAGGTGACAGGGGCTGCTTCTCATTTATGGTCCCTCCTGGTCCCGAGGTGTTTAAGTTTGTGACCCTACAGACTGGACCCTGACTTCCCCAATGAGGGAAGTCTTTAAAGGGGTTGGTTGTCTGGGGATGCAAGAAATAACTACACTTAATCTGTCTGTTTTGTGAGTTCAAAGCCACTACAGAGTGTTTCTGTTGAGTTGATTTTAGAAGTTTTGATACTCATTTCACCAGTCTCAGTGGAACAGATTTTTGTCCTTAAATTGGAATTTTTGAAAACACCAAAGGACAATTCGGAGCCAAGTTTGGGGTTAAAAACAATAAATAAATAAGTATGACCATGAAATAGTGAAAATTGCTTCTCTTGGGCGGGTTGTAAGCTGACTCAAAGGATAATTTTTTAAAAAAGTAGTTTAGTAATGCTTGAAAGACGGCCTTTGATTCTTCCAGATGTCAATCACTCCTTACACTCAGCTCTCAGAACACCCCAGGTGTGACCCCAGACTCACATTGGTATGGTTGTTTTGTTTTAGTTTACATATTTGTCCCACTCTTCCCCTCTCTTCCACAGGACTGAGAGACACTGAGGGAAGGGGTTTTCTTTTGTTTCTCTTTGTATTCCTAAGGCCTGTGGTTTGCATAGTTGGAGGCTATGATCGTTAAGTTTGTGTGTCAGCTTGGCTGGGCCTGGTTGAAAGGCTGGGCAGCTGGATGTAGTATTCCCCATGACAAGACTGGTAATCAACTCCATGGTGGGATCTACCACAAGCAGCTGAGTAGCTGCCCTAGGGATGTGGTCTGCTTTCTCAATATAAGGAGAAGCCCTGGGGAATGGTCTCTAGTTTGTAGGATGCTAGGACCCTGCGTGTAGTCATGTCGTTCAGCAGCCTGCCGTGCTCTGCCAACCTTGGGACTTACAATGGACTTGAATTAATGGCCTGCCGTGTGCTTTGGTAATATCAGGACTGTCATTTTGTCAACCTTGGGCTTGTTAGCCTCAGCAGCCACTAACTGCTTGAGTAAAGAGATGCCTCTAGCTTCAGTGGGCTAGGAGCAAGAGGCAGACCTAAAGCCCAAGGTCAAGGGGCTTTCACACAGTCCTTAGAGCCTGGCGCTTTGAACTTGGACTTCTAGCCTCCTGAACTGTAGGAGAATAAACTCCTGTTTGTTAAAGCATCCCATTTGTGGTATATTCCTGCCAGAGTGGCACTAGGTAACCAGAACAGAGGCCAAAATACTGAATTGAAGGCTTCATTACTAAATGAATGACTGAATGAGTTTTATAAATGGCTAGTAACCTAAGTTATGATTTAAAAGCAGAAACACCCCCTTTATATGTGTGAAATATTCATTCTCATTCCTTTTTACATTTGCATATATCCCTGTAATCAAGCTGAGGTGAAAATTGTTTTTGTATTATATAAATTTAAGTTTCATTTGAAAGCCATTTCTTTCCTCTTGACAGGCAAGTCTGACTTTACTACACAGTTGTGCTTTTTCCAGCTGAGGAAGGAAATGTAAAAGTAGAATCAAAGGTAGAAAAAACAGAAAAATAGAAAAAGAAAGAAAGATAAACCACCAAGAATCATGGCCTATTGTTTGGGCTCTACTTCAAAAAGAAGGTTTATCAAATGAGTTCAGATTACACTAAAATAGTTGATAGTTGCGATCAGGAGCCATGGGGCACAAGTCCTTTGCTAAGGCTAGATAAAACAAAGGTGGCTGTTTCCAACGACAGGCTTGCCAATCTGCTTCCATTAAGAGAACAGCCAAGAAAACCCTGTGAAGCAGTTCCAGTCTGTAACACATGGGGTCACTGTAAGTTGAGGGGACTCTGTGACAGCTCATAGCAACTAGGCAGCAGGATCAACCTCAGGATAGAGCAACAGCCATACTTTGAAACTTTCAATATCGAGACCCTAAATAAGTAATATGTAAATATATTAAAACAATATCAACCTGTGGCTGTCAAGTGCATTGACTCATGACGGCTTCATGTGTGTCAGAGTCTAACTGTGCCCCAGGGGGCAGTGGCTAACTTTTCTGAAATAAATTGCCAGGCCTTTCTTTCAAGGTGCTACGGGTACACTCCCACCTCCAACTCTTTGTTTAGCAGTGAGAAAAACTCAAAAATCACATAAAACCATGGAAAACGAAACATCCATTTGTATGCGCACGTGTGTTTGTAAAACCATTTATTTTAAGGCTGAATATTCCTTTCAGGGCAGGGTAAGTAAGGAGTAGCAGGGCTTTGAGGGAATTCTCGCCTTCGCTGACTGTCGGCCTTGCTGTTCATTTCCGTTCCCACCCAGATACACACAGGTTGGTTCCAGGACTCCGCTCTCCACTGGTCGCCGGCCTGTGAGAAGCTGGAACAGCATCTGCAGCTGCATCCTTCCCTTTCTCTTCCTCCTGCTCTCCGCTCTATTTTGGAGCTCCATGATCTCATGCCCTCTGCAGACCACACTCTGCAATTCCAGTCCAGTCCAGCCCGCGCTGCGATGCCACGCAGGGCGATTACTGCAAGGGTGCGCACGGTGCTAGGGCGCGGGAAGGGGAAGGCTTTGGGTGAAATAAAGGCACGCCCACGTCCAGGACCAAAATAACACGCAGAATGCCCGAAATCAGACAGGAAGCCAAATAATCCGGGGCGTTGGGTTGCTCTCCCCTCAGTTTCGCGCTGGGCGGAGGGAAAGGAGCCAAGGGTCTGGTCGGGAGGGGCCAGCGCGGCGGCGGGGCGGGGCGGCGCGGCGCGGAGCCTATTAAAGGCGGCTGCGGTGGCGAGGTCGAAGAGGCGGGCTACGATGCAGCGCGACGGCTGCGTAGGGGGCGGGAGCCGGGCTGGCGGCGGCGGCGAGGGCCGGCGCGGCCCCCGGGAGGGGTTGGCGGGGAACGGCCGCGAGGCGAGCCACGGCCACGCCGCCGAGGCGCCCGAGGACCCACCGGCGGCAGCGTCCTTGCTGGCCCCGATGGACCTGGGCGAGGAACCGCTGGAGAAGGCGGCGCACGCACGCACGGCGAAGGACCCAAACACCTACAAAGTGCTCTCGCTGGTAGGTCGGGAGGCGGCGGCCACCTCCTGCGGCTCCGAGCGCGGTCAGCACCCGGGCGCGGAGAGAGGCAGGCTTTTCTACCGCTTCGCCCGTACGCTCACCGCCGCTGCTCATCACCACTGTACCTTCTCCTTACTCCAGCGGAATATGTCAGTTTCTTTCGACTTCCTCTTGTTTGATGAAAATGGGCTGTTAAAATTGTGATCTTTAGAAATACAACTTTTTTTTTTTTCTTGAATTTTTCACCCAGAGGGCGGAGGATTTTTAGAGGGAAAAATGACCACCCCCAAAGGTGTTGATCTTAGGACACTGCAGCAGTGTTCTAGCTCTTTTGGGTGGCTCTGGGTGCAGTACTGATGACTTATTAACTGCTTGCAGTTTAAAGATTTAACAAAACTCTTTAAGAGTCGCTAGGAACTTTAGAAAGCACTTTTTCATTCGGCTTTGTTTAGGAATTTCCTTGCAGCTGTCCAGAAATACCATCAATATTCACATAATGTGAAAGTGAAGAAGCGGTTATGATTCTTTGCCCACTCTTTTAGCCGGAGGTTACGGGGTTTTTGTTCTAACAAAACAACCTATTATTCCTCTGCCGTTTTGTTACGAAGCTTACCGGACCCACAGTCAACTTTACAAAATATCAGCAATGTTTTTCCTTCTTCCAAATCTGCGGCTGGAAGTGCTGGACTGAATTAAAAGACCTGGGTTCTTGATTTCGTGGCCATGATTAATTTCATGGCTGTAATTAATTAGCCTGCATAACTCAGTCTTCCCAAACCTCATTTCTTCTGGTAAAATAGGAACAACACATGACAAAAGGATTATTGTGAGGATCAGCTGGAACAATGTATGTGGGAAAATAACATTGAAAATTGCAGGGAGATGCTGTTATTTTTACTGTATGATACTGAGGTCACAGATTTCTAAGTATATCTTGCACGCTAAATTATATTGTCACTTAAATATCATGAATGAACAATGCTGTGTAGAGACTGTTTTTTCCCCTGATTTTTGAGATTTTTCCTTTTTGTAAGTATTTCCATTTCCAGTATATTTTGGAGGTGTTACAAGGTCACGCTGGGTGGGAACCAATACCACAGAACTAACAACTTGGTACTTGGAGGAACCAACATTTCTAGACCTAAGAGATGGTTTGATACCTTAGTAGTTAAAAATAAACCTAAGGTTAACAAGTGCCCCACACCACACACTGTTTGTATCTCAAGTTATTTTTTGCATCATGTATCAGTTTATTAAGTCTAGAACATACAATATTGATGAGAACTTACTTTTTTTGGCCTGAGGTTTTTTTTTTCTTTTCCCTTTCTCATGGAAAATCTTAGCTTTTACAACATCATCACAAATGATTTAGTGTGAGTACCATCAAGTGTTTATGTGCACCTTCAAGCACACTGTTTCAACAATTGTACGTTGACTCTGTAACTAAATCAAATGTAAAGCCACTTCTAAAGATGCAGAAGTTTTCCAATTGCTAAAGTCAGTTTTCAAATTATTCCTGTTCATACCTCGTGATCCTCGATAAATATCAGCAGAGGTGTGTGTTTGGCATGAGCATTTGTTTCTGACACCTGCAGTCAGCTGGTTAAACATTATTCCTTTAGATTCTGATGATGTGAATCTGGGAATTCTGCATGGAAGTGTTTTAAGACTGACTTCTACAAATAGGAGAACCGTGAATATTTTATAATTTCTCTAGGTGGGTGTTTTGCTTATCTAGTGATGATATAACAGAAAAAAGCATAAGTGGATGGGTTCAACAAACATAAATTTATTCTCTCACCATTTAGGATGTTAGAAGCACAAATTTAGGGCACTAGTCCTAGGGGAAAGCTTTCTCTTCCTGTTGACTCCAGGGGAAGTTCCTTGTGTCCTTTCAACACCTGGTATTCCTTGGGGATTTCTGTGTGTCTTGGCATCAGTCTTTTCCTGGGTCTAGGAGGTTCTCAGCATAAGGACCTTGTGTCCAAAGGATTTGCTCAGCTCCTACCTCTTCCTTCTTGGTGGTAGTACATCCTTCTTCTCTGCTCCTCTTTTCTAAGATAAAAGGTGATGCAAGCCACACTCCAGGGGAACTCTCATATCATCTCTGAACTGTGACTTGATTAAGGGTGTTGCATCTCACACTAATCCTCTTGAAGTTGATTGGCTGATCACATCATGGAGGAGGATCCCATCATTTCATACTTGCCAAATTACATCATTACACAGCTGCAAACCACTAAGAATCATGGCCCAGCCAAGCTGACACATATTTTTTTGGGACACAGCTCAATCCATGATAGTGGGATTTTTTTTTCTGTGACACAAACTGAACCGGAAAAAAAGTCTTTACCTTCAGTCTTTTGATGAAATACTGTAGGATGTTATTATACAAAGTAACTACCAAACTCATTTGCTATATTGGTGAAACTCTTGCTGAATGATTTAATTACTAAACTGAGAGTGGATCTCTACCTCATCCTTATTCTTCTCTTCCCTGCTTCAATGTTCTCCTACCTCCAGATCTTCGCCAAATATTGTGCTTCCAGAAGGAAACATGTGGAAAAGGAACTTAACAGTTGTCTTCAAAGAGTCTGAGACATGTTTTTGAGAGGAGTGGCAATTATGGGATTTCTTTTTCAGGTTGAACAGCAGCTTTTCATAAAGCTGAAGTGGTGGACTGGACTAATTGCCTCCTGGCATTGGGATTAGGAGAGGCTACCACTGAGGACCTGGTCCTTAGCCACACAGTTTTTTTTTTTTTTTTCCTTTAAATCTATAAGGATAAGCTCAAGAGTTGCCTTGCAGAGAGATAATAAATCATTGGAAACGTGACAGCTACCTCTTCTCTGAAATTGTCTCAGTTGAACCTAGTTGATGTAGGCCTGTGAGAGCATGAAGGAGAGAAGATGCTGCCCTGCCCTTGTTGCTCCCTTGTGTGGCGTTTGATCCCGGGGAACACCAGCACGCTGTGTTCCTGGGCCCTGGAAATGCTCATGCCTAGGAATAGCCAGAATGTGGAAAACCCCAAGGGGGTAAAATACAAGGATTATTCTCTATATGCTTCTTCAGTAGATACATTCAATACAGGATGGCTTTCCTTGGCTTCACATTAGTTTTTGAAATAAAATGTAGGCTTTCACTGAGGTTGGACTTGCCAGTTCTTTTGAATGCCTTTTTTGTTCCCTGACATAGTTTTAAAGAAGTGGGTAATTTTCAACCACAGGACAATGGAGTTCTTCAATTAGTGCTCCTTAAGAATTATTTTTTGTGTTTGTGGGTGTCTATGGTACTTATGAATACATGTACCTAATGTATGTGTCAGGGGCTTTGTGGTCACTGAAGTCTGCTGTCAGCTTTTGATGAAAGAGTTCTTTCAAAGTGGCAGAAGTTGGCCATGTTTATATTTAGATATTTGGGTATGAAAATTATTCACTGTGTTAGACTCTTTCCCCTTCCTCAGGCAACCCATTATCTTATCTCTGGAATTCAACATGGAAACTATTCAAGATAGCCCTCTGCTCTTAATCAACTTGGAATTGACATAGTTGTTTGGTTTATAAAATTTAATATTCTGTCCAGCCATAGTTAAACATTTTATTTCAGAATAACTAGAGCATCCTAGAGGCCAGAGAAGTCTCCTATTTGTTTTACATGTTCTAATAAAATGTATCAACAATTTCTAGGAACCCAAAGTACTGTTGTGGTCACTGCTAGGCTAATTCAGTGCCTGACATCTAGTGCAAGCTTTTGGTTGAATGAATGAATGAATTGCATTTTTAGTTAGATTGAGTCACACTTTGACTGGGAAAATGGCAAGGTGGGAACAGTGAATTCACAACCACAGACCATATGGCCAGTTGTAGGTCAAATCAAACCAAAAACCAAACTCACTGCTATCAGAGTCCATTCCAACTCATAGCAACCCCCATCAGGTTTCCAAGGCTGTAAATCTTTACAGAAGCTGACAGTCTTATCTTTCTTCTGCTAAGTGGCTGGTGGGTTTGAACCACTGATCTTTTGGTTAGCAGCCCAATACATCAGGCATTACACCACCACAGCTCCTAGTTGAAGGGCTAAACCAAAGCCACACCCACTTCTATTGAGCCAATTATGACTCAAAGTGACCCCTACTGGGTTTCCAAGGCTGTGAATCTTTATGGAAGTAGATTGACTCATTTTCCTCCTGTGGAGCAGCTGGTGGGTTTGAACTGCTGACCTTCTGGTTAGTGGCTGAATGTGTTACCCAAAGTCCCCTTCTGTTTTAGTGACTTTGCTCTCTACTTCAAATTCAGCCTTTGAGACCCTTGTGGGGAACTGTTTTCTTCAGTTCTGCTTTCTATTTTGGTCAAACGGGCAAAAGCTGGAAACTTTGTAAGGCAGAAACCTTGTCAGAGAAGGAAAACACAAATATTTTCTACTAATAGTGTACCCTGTCAAAGGTGGAAAACTTAGAACACGTGGATTGTAATGCAGTCCCATCAAATTCTCTCACGGGTTTCACTGTGTAACCTTTCTTCTGCTGGAGGTCAAGTTCTGGTCTTTTCTCTCTCTTCCCAGGTGTATCTCAGCTATTTCCACACTAAGTGGTCTCTTTCTCATACAGCCAGCTTTTTAAGACTTTGCTTTTTTTCTTTCTATTCCATGTGTTCAGTTAACTCTGGACAGTCACTCTTGTCATTTCCTGCTCTGCTGCCCTGGTGGTGTAATAGATAAGCACTGGACTGCTGACTGAAAGGCTGGAGGTTTGAACCCACTGAGCAGCTCAGAGGGAGAAGGACCTGGCAATAGGCTTCTGTAAAAATAACAGTCTAGCCACTCCTCAGAAGGAAGGTCAGGCGATCTACTTCCCTAGTGACCTCAGAAACCCAAGGAGGAAAAGGAGCTCTGGTAGCATAGTGCCTAAGGCACTTGACTGTTAACCAAAAGGCTGGCCATTCAAACCCACCAGCCACTCCTTGGAAAGAAGGTTGGGCAATCTACTTCCATAGTGATATTGC